CTGCATTCTCACTGCAAATATAAACATTTGCCGTGAAGAAAATACGACGAGGAGGAAAAAATGCCAGATCTTCGCCTCGGCAATGTATTCCAGCTACCAAGCCGGCGTATCTCCAGAATGTAGACTCGAGGTGGGAAAAACCTTGTGATTTTTTAGGAGCCCTTTGCGCGCAAACTAATTTATTCTGGCGCGAAATGAAGATTAAGAAAATGCATCTGAAATCTAATACACGACAAGAAAATTTTCGCACTTTCAAGGAGCGCGACATATTAAATGGGATTAAGTCGGATTAGCTGCCCGCGGAGAAAACATCACTGCGTGGGATGGTACTTCCAGTAAAAAGCCTCTGTGTCCTCTCATGATGGGCTGGGATGAGGTGGGAAGAGAGCAAAATAAACCATCCAAAGGAGGTGCCATGAAGTGGAGAGCAGGAAAGGCGAGGTGCATGGCCATAACAACAACCTGTGTATGTGTCTTATACTAGTCGATTGGGCAAGACCACTGTTACCTGTAAATAGCAGCTAGATCACTACAAGTATAACGAGAGACGTTTTTGCATGGATCAGACCCTTTAATTTTATTTCTTTTCTATTTATATATTTTTTTCAGTGCGGTAATAATGACACTTTTACACACTTTGACACTAGTAGCCATCCTCAGATTAAAATGCCATGAGGATAACACACATCATCAGGTACAAAAACAAGCAAAACAACAGTTACGAGTTCCTCCCTTTACCCATACCTCAAGAAACAGTGTTCGTTTCGTTTTGTTATTGTTTTTCTTCTTGTCATGTTTTTCATTCTCTGCTTAAAACAGCATTTCTACCAGTAGCAAGCAGTTTTAATCTCTGAAACAGTGACTACCATGAGGGGTTTGGTAAAGTATATTAGTTTAGACGTTAACAAGTTCACAATTTAGTTGTGTGTTCTTTCTACCTTTCGAAATCTACGTGAACTATAATGATGATATTAAAAGTAAAATTTACTTTAATTCAAGTCTCTAGTTTTACATTATCAGGGGCACCCAACGCGAATATAGTTCAAAACCACTTAAACATTGTTGAACGTACCTTTAGCTACTATTTAAACGGTAGATAAAGGCATATTTTTATCTCCTAAAAATTTTTTATCTGTTCGGATTTCCTAGCTACGAGTCTAGTGATTCGAAAATTATAGGGATCAAAACTTACCTTTTTGAAAATTTCAGCCAGAAAAAAGGTTCCCGAAAATTCTAGGTGACCTTTTTAGGGTAGCAGTTGGTTAAAAATGGGCAATTATACCATTTTTTAGTTGTTTGAAAATCCTAGGAGAGGCTGGCAAGCAGGAAACTTTACAACAAATGTTCCGAAAATTCTAGATCTCAAATCGTTTTTCGAACAGATATTTTCCGAAAATTGACGTTGGGTGCCCCTGCATTATTTTTATTACAGTCTTATCAAACCATCAAATTCAGAAAATCGTGAAAACCTGCATAACTGTGTGATGACCGATCACAACAAAGAACAGGAAATGCAAGCAAACCACAAACTAGTTACCTTTGCTGAGTTTATATAACACTTCACGTTTCAACACAAAAACATTCCAGAAATGATTCTGCTGTTAACGATTTTCTGGGTTTCAAAGTAAATTATCATAATGTATGTAGTTATTAATTATTGAAATTTGATCGTTAAATAAAAGTGATATTGTTCCTGTTCTACGACCATGAACTCTTTTCGACTGTTGTCATCCTATTCATATCGGGCTATGTGACCCCGTTGGTATCGGGCAGCGGTAAAACCAAGATGGCGGAAGAAAATGGCGGGAGTTTAATGTTCACGTAGCCGTAGTAGGCGCGAGCAGTCGTCTTGTTTAGCAGCACGCAAAGTTTTGCGGATACTGGCGATATATTCGTTTGTCAGCCTTTATAGTACAAGCATAGAAATTTTATTTGTATCTTGGAAGCACTTTATCCGGTCACCTTTCGAGCTTCATGGTAAAATGTGCAAGACGGAGTGATGGTAGGAGACTTAATTATTTGTTTGCTTGCGTTTTTTAATATATATATATATATATATTTATTTTTTATTATTAAAAAAAAAGATGGGTCCAGAAAGGGGTCCAGAAGGGGGTCCAAAAAGGGGTCCAAAAGGGGGGTCCAGAAGGGAGGGTCCACGTTTTGTCTACACCCATTTTGAAGCCCTTCAGAAAATTTGCAGTCATGTATAATCAGAACCTGGAAATACACTCATGCTGGTCTTTTAAACAATACTTAAAGTTTGATTATAGAATGAGGCACATACATTATTATTTTAAAAGTAAAATGTTTATCGTTCCTAAACTGTTTAAGATATTGACAAAGTACAGGTCACATTCCACAGGTAAAAAGTACATGTCACTGCTCTATAGATGAATTGCCAAACCACGCAAATTCCCCTCTATCTAATAGGGCATTTTGTTAAGAGTTTAGAGCTCGCAAACACTTTTAATGCTATTCATTTGTCTGTATCATGGTGAACTGTACTCTGACCTGTGGAAAAGTTACCTGTATATTAGACCCACCGTCAGTTACCGCACGGTCTTCAATGTTGATTTTGACAGTTTAACACCCATGGAAATATGCCTCTTTTTTCTTTTAGTGCAAAGAATGGGGATTCCTTTTAAGGGAAGTGTTTGGCTGCAACCTGGGCACTGGTGATTATGGCCACATCACCATTGAACATACCAGCATGCTGTTTAGAAAGCACCTCAGCTTGAGGGAGTATTCAAATCAAGGCTTTGAGACACCACACTCATTACAGCATCAGTTATATTCAAAGGCTACTTCCCATGACAGGCATGGTCATGCTACATCAAGTTAGTTTTATATTTTACTTTTTTAGTACTTTATTTTTTCGTATATTATCATACATTTCAACACCACAATACTTGAAACTAATTATTTGTCACCTACTTAAATATTGTTAGAACTAAACTAACAACTCTTTTCATAGGAAGGTTAGGAAGCTCATCATGTCATTTTCACATTGTTTTGTGATACCACAGATGATGCATAGTTCATAAAGATATGATACTGTACATGTTCTTGAATATTACGTATCTTATTGTGTGAAAACTAGAATCCATTGGGGGAAAAGGCAAAGTCTGGTTTAATCACATGTTCTTGTTGGTATTGAAGTTATTGGCACTTTTTAATAATCAACTTTATTTCATTATATTAAGTCCAACAGATTTTGCAACATTTGCTTAGGTGGTATTAGGCTTTTTGCCGTTTAAATTCGCCACTTACCACGTAAACGAGGATTAAGGGAAGCGTTTATCTGCTCCGTAAGCCCTGCCAGCCACGATAAATATCCTATTTTAAAATCTTGCGATCTCCTGTTAAGAAATCCAATGTCGGGCACTGAAGCCTCGTTCTCCTCGTTGTCCAAAAACACCACATTTAAGGCTCGATCACCTTCCTCCGTGTGTTTTCGTTCCACGTGCTTTTGAATTGCGCTAAAAGTTTTAAACTTTCCAGTACATAAACAAGATTTCTGTGAAAACGTAAAGAGCAGATTCATGTCGTTGTCAGCTATAACGGATTCGTTAATATCTCGCCTTCGATTTTCCTGTAGCAAACTAGAAATTTTTCAAGTAACATTCCTTGTCAGTCACATAGGTTATGAGAATAAAGGACGTGATCACACAGCGCTTGATATAAAATAACTTCTCCTAACCATTTAAGAGGGAAGTGTGTGAGGACAGGAAAAAGGAATTTACTTTTGATATGTGGGTTAAGTACGGGTGTTCTTGAAACAATGGATTCTGTTTATAGACAATTCTCACATACCATGTGCTACCCTCCGTAACGAACGTCTTTTCTCGTGAATGAAAACATGGACTCAAACGAGCGAGAGGAGTTATGCAAAAAAGGAGAGCGAGTATTCCGAGTAAGGGATGGAAAGTATCGCTCAAAAGCGCAGTCAAAAAGAGAGCAAAGAAAGCAAAATAAGGCATGACAGAGGAGAAAATGGGTGGAAGGATTGAAGAATGCCAACTTTCGTGTACCAGAAAGAGAAGAGTTGCCACAAGAGGAGAAGAATGATGAGAGCTACAGAAGATGCCGGAAGAGGGAGAGGAGAATAAAAAGGTTTGCGAATCAGAAAGTGAGAAGGTGGTAGAATCACTGCCCGCAAGCAAGAAACGAATCGAGGCCAACAAACTATCTCCAGAGGCAAATACTTTTTCCAGAGGCAAGGTCATGGACAATTTATCACATTCGAAGTTTAAACGGAAAGGTCATACTGAAGAGAAATACGTGCCGGCCGCAAAAATTTCACGGAAACAAATCGTTAGCTCCAGAAAAAATAGCATCGGCAAGAACGCAGATGCTCTTGCGTTTAAGGGGATTAATAGGTCTTTGCTGTAAGTGGATTAAAGTCAAAAAATTGGAAACGGAACCTTCGGGAACTGCTACATCGCCATATACCGCAATCAATACCGCGTTGTTGCTAAAGAAATGAAAATAATTGAATCCCCAAAGAAGACAAGACAGGAAGTGTGGCGAGAAGCATCGGCAATCACTGGAATTGGAGACCACTGGGGAATCCCTCTTCTGTTTGGACCTGTTTGGTGTTTCCACAGATCGGGCACCATTTTATCTCGTTCTCCAGTTCCACGCTTCGCGTAGTGAAAGCGTAACACTTTTTAAGGCCGCTTCGGAAAAAGTTATTCAAGATGTTGCCATGTGCGCAAATATCTTAAAGCAAGTATGCGAAATACTAATGTTCATCCTTGAAAGAGGTTTCTTGCACAACGATCTGAAGAGCAATAATGTTGTCATTGACGGATCGCAAAACAAGCTCGTAATTATCGATTTTGGAAAAAGCTGCAAGATTGTTAAAGCCAGCTTACGCACCCAAGGTGAACATTGAGAAATCGATGAAAAAATTTCCGCACATCGCACCGGAAATACATCACGGTGAAAGGCAGTCCATCGCTAGTGACGTGTTTTCGTTTGGCTATCTGGTCACTCGTTTATTTAAAGACGCTAAGCTAAAAATTCCACCAGTCCTGAAGGAAATGGCTAAGAGATGCCAGAGGTCAATCCCAGAAAAACGTCCTAAACTGGTGGACTTTTTCACCATCCTGACTAAATTATCATAAATGATTTTACCGTGCGCTCGATTGACCGTGTTCAGGAATAAGTTGTCCGATGTCTTTCAACCTTTTGTAATACGTCAATTGGAATAAGACTTACTGAAAAAACGCTGAAAATCACTAATTATTGGCTTTCATTTACAATCCAGAATGTGTTGAGAATTTATACTTGAGGCCAATGTTTCATCTGAGTGGTGCATAATTTTCGGTCGAAGAGATTTTTTCAAATTTCTGCGTGTCATTATTCGGGAATTCGATCAATCGAACACTTTCTTATTGAGGTGGTCAAACGGGCCTNTGTTCAGGAATAAGTTGTCCGATGTCTTTCAACCTTTTGTAATACGTCAATTGGAATAAGACTTACTGAAAAAACGCTGAAAATCACTAATTATTGGCTTTCATTTACAATCCAGAATGTGTTGAGAATTTATACTTGAGGCCAATGTTTCATCTGAGTGGTGCATAATTTTCGGTCGAAGAGATTTTTTCAAATTTCTGCGTGTCATTATTCGGGAATTCGATCAATCGAACACTTTCTTATTGAGGTGGTCAAACGGGCCTCTTTTTTTCTTGCACAAGCCTCATCATGATCAGACCAAAAATCTGCTTTCTTCAATACAAGGAGAAACCACCTTTCAAATCATTGCGGAAACTTAATGAACGTCGAAAATGGGTTACTCGAATAAAATTAAGCCTTGAAAGAAATTTCTTTCGCCGTCTAGTTCGGCCATTTTTTAGAGGTTAGCCTTATAACTTCTCCTGTGCAAGGAGGGAAACTTCTCGTGCATCCTTCTTTTGTACTTTTTAGGAACTGTGTAACTTATGTAAATATGTGATATATTTTTTAACGCCTTTGCTACAGAAATTATGTGCATAACCAGCGAAGTTTTTGACTTAACTAGTTTATAGATATATTTGTGATGATATTCACGTAATTCTGCAAGGAAACTGAGCGTTTTTGCAATTTTGTTACATTTCTCCGGTTTTCGACAGTCAGACGAAACCATTGCATAGTACTTATTGTCCATTATGCCTTATGCTGCCAACGTGACAGAAGTCGTCCAAGGATTATTAATCTCACCTTGTTAACGCTTAGAATTAAAGAGACGGATGAAAGAAATCTAATTAAAATTGAAAGTGCCGACAGCTGATGAACATGTTTCAGGGTCTCTTTGTAAACTTGAGCCTTAGTCCAAAACAATAGGAGTTGACAACTTACCTAATTATAATCCCCACAGATATTCCATGAATGCGCCGTTCAACGGCGCTTTCGCATTAAAATCGACCCTCTAGCTTGTTGATTTTAGCAAAAACTGCGACTTCTCCAATTTTTCGCAATTTTTGGAGAAATCGCAGTTTTTGCTGGACACCCTTGTACCTCCTTTACCACTTGAGTTTAGTAATTTTAGCAAAAACTGCGACTTCTCCAAATTTTCGCAATTTTTGCTACTGCGTGCAAACTTGGATATATCTCTTGTCTGTAACAAACATTTTAGGCATTAGGAGCTTGGTCACCGAATCCTATATGTACCATTAGGAATAAAAGATGGTTATGCCTGACGTAGGCCTTGTACAAGGAAGTAACAGTTTAATTCTGTAATTTAACCATATGGGTTTTCCAGCACATGAGGCTTAGCACAATAATACTGTTACTTATAAGATTTAAAATTGGCAATGATAAAAAAAGACTTTAAAATAAGTATTACCCACAACTGTTTGTTTTAAGTGATTTGTACTGGAGCCATAATCGGAGTAGAAATCGCAAGCGCCGAGTCCACGCGGTTCCATGGCTAATTACGCTATTTTTAGCAAGAATTGAGTCACTCTCAACGTTATTAACTCGCGCGGGGACCCGCAAATTTGACAGGCTCCCGCATGGAGTTTCAGGAGATGGGTGATTTCTTGTAACTTTACTTAAGTGATCTTTAAACTTTCCAAGTGCTTCATATCTCATATGTAATATACGCCTGTGTCATATCTAGTATTAAATATATATTATCCGTATTTTTCCATCCACATAAGAAGAGAAATAAACAACAGCTTTGCTACGCTTCAAGCGTTGCTTTTTTATTTAAAGAAAAAACTTCCATTTATTTTAACTATCTCCTCGCAGCTCATTTGAGCTGTATTATCTAAAATTTGCTGTATTATCTTAAATTTTTCGTGATCTCGAAAACTAAAGAAAAACGGCAATACCTTAGATAGAAATATGTACACGATGTATCTCTTGATGTGGCTTAAAAAATCATGAAGAGGAATAAAATATTTATGGATGGCATTATACTCAGAAATGGGATGACTGTGTAGTTGTTTGTAGGCTCGTCTCTTTATTCAGTGCCAGTAAAACAGCAGAAACATCTTCAACAACTAATTGCATTTGCCATTATTTTTTGTCGCTGGTGGCGGTAATTTTCCACCCTCCTTTCCCTGAATTTTTTTTTTACCCGGACGTGATATATCTCCGACATCTCTTCGTCATTAGATTTATCAAAAGCACTTTCACTACAATGTTTACAATAACCGGAATCACGTCCATAGTCATCACAATTATAGTCAGTTTCAAGAAGGGACAATGATGACAAAAGGGAATTTATTCATGTCCCTTAAAGGCAATTTCCGATGCCAGTTTGTGTATACTTTGCACGGCGTTCTTGCAAAAATTATATTTCGCTCGTGTGTCACACGGGATGGCGCAATTTGTATTAAAAATGGCACATTTAAGTATTTTGATGGAACCAACCCTATTACTGGAAAAGGCGTCAGCTACAATATCCTGCAACGCTTTTGGGTGATGTTGGTATCTTAATGTTGCTTGTATGCTAGCCGCGTAGGTTACTCGTACGGAATCGTATGTATACGTGGTTGAACAAGCCTAGTGTTTTAGTCTTGAACATTAGCAACAAACAGACCAGCGACCTGCAAGAATGAGTTAGCGTATCTTCGTGACACAAATGATTCATGAGATAAAACAGCCTCATCAAAATCCATTTTGAACCTGCGTTCAATTTAATAAAACGTTTAATTTACAAATGTAGCCATTGTTTCAGAGTCTGAAAACAATAGCTACACTTGTAAATTATACTATTCGTTTTAGAAGTTTTATCAAATTGACCCCTGGTCATTACTTGTAGATGACCTCTGTATGTACCGGAACATGGTCACACTGGTCATTAAAGAAAACTAAATTATTGATGCTCTATATACTATTTTGCATGCACCTACTACTTTCTCGTCCTCTGGTAAGCTACACTCTCAGACAAAAACTCCCCTGAAACACTTTGGAAAATTCTGCTCCCTTAGTCCACCCCCCCCCCCCTTCTCCTCCCTTTTGCACTTTTATTGTAACCCGTAACATTTTAATCCCATCTCAACATTGCAGTGGGAAAGGGGCGTGGATAGTTGTTTCAAGGACTTTTGTCGAGGATTGTAGGTACGTTATAATCTTAGTATAACATAATGTATGACTGACAAGATACATATCAAAAACGACAAAAATAGTATCGTTCGTTGACACGATTTAGTTATTGTGAAGTTTTCTTTGCCACAATGCCTGTATAGGATATGCTGGCAATAACATGTCATTAATTAACAACACGAGGTTGATTGTTTATAACAATCTTTTAATAAGGCAAGAAGCAAGTGTCCATTGTTCGCATTAACAGTTGTCCGTATTAAGCATGTTAGGTTTAGAGAAAATATGAGGTCTTTACCCAGGGACAAGGGAAACTGTCAATAATAATTAACAAGGTCTCCGTGTTAAGTGGGTGCCCGTAAAGAGAGGTTTAAGAAACGTGCAGTAGCTGGTAAAGATCGAGGCCATCGCATTGTGGGAGCCTTTGTTAAAAGTTAAATTCTGACAAACGAGCTAATATTCTACTTTGGCGGGACTTTCGAATTTAGAAAACACAATGTATTTTGTTGTTCAGTCAATCTCCCCTCCCTACTATCTGAACACCTAGAGGAGGCTACTTAAATAAGTTTAAGGTTGAAAAAGCCCTTGAGGCGTTTAACAGCGGCTGTCTGTAAATATCGAGAATTGCCGTCAAAAGGGAAATTTTCGAAGTTCTTCGTATTCAGTCACAAAAAACCGTTTGGTGAAAATTTTTCGAAAATCACAATCAAAGTTTCCAAAGAATTTTCGTTTTCGAGAAAACCGGCAAAAAGCGAAATGCTGCCCCACGCCATATAGTCGCCGGTCAAAAACCTTTGAATTATACCATTTTCAAAGCCCTCAGGAAGAAAGACGTTTCAAGGAAACAAGTTCATCTTTGGCAGGTAAGTAAGGCACCCCAGTTACAATACTATTTGGTAAAAATATTGCAAGATAATGAATTTTTTACTCGGTTTAGAAACGCCCGAAGATTCCTATCTTCCGCAGTTTCATAAACAATGAAATTTTGCGAAGCTTTGAAGGGAAAAATGACGGCTTGGTACATGGAATTTTAGAAGAATTATTAAACCTCAGTAAAGCCCTGCTGTTGTTGTACAACATAAAAAATCCAGCCTGGACAATTAAAAAGCAACTCGCCGAGAGAGGTGAACGCGCAGTTCATTTTCGATGCTTTTGCATAAAATGCACGTTAAAACCGTCACGCAGCCGCGGGTAACACAAACTCCAAAAAATTGTCTTGACTCACATTTTCTCGTGGTGATCAGGAAAAAAATAGTTTTTACTTGTAAAATCGAAAGATTTATTGAGTCGTTTATTACCCTGGTATGAATTGACTAGTTAGAAAGTTAGATGTGGGCGATCGCAATGAACCAGCTCTGAAAG